CATCATCATCATCAAAGGGTGGGTTTACAGGACTCCACGAGAGTAGAGTGGTCAATATGCTTATGCAGAGGATGGAAAAGACGGCCACGTTTGGCAACTATCGGTGAGAATTCTATCTGATCTTGATCTCCAAAACAGATATCTAACTAGATAAAAAGATACCGCGAGAGCCTCGGGACATTCATCACCCAAGCCTTGACTGCAATTTTGATTGTGGTATCCCCGAATGTCGTGACAATGGCCTTGACGCATCCCTCTGGCTCGAGTTGCAACCACGCGATCGACTTCCCACTTGCGCAGCTCCTACGCCAAGCCAACGCCAGTCCTGAAAACAAGCCATTTCTTCGCAACCTCCGCAACGTTTATGTGATCAACAAAAACGATAGCACCTGGTCCGATGGTCGTTTTTATCTCCCAATGGACCTTTCTGGTTGCTTGAGGCTATTTAACAATCTCCTGTCAATTGAATCTGTCGGAGCTGATTTAATGGAGGAGGATCCGAATGGAAAATTCGAGTTCAAAGAGAAGTGTTCCAACATCAGGAAGCTTTCCATCCATCACTCGTCGGTTAATTCTCTCTACCTTGCGAATCTGATATGGTCGTGCAGGATTCTCAAGGAATTCCAGTACTCAATCGGAGGTAGAGCGAGCAGGGATGGGGGCTTTCCTATCTTCAACCCTAAAGCATTTATCAAAGCGCTTTGCGCACACAAGAAAACGCTGGAAATCCTCGATATCGATGCGGAAAATGAAATATCTACATTTGAGATCGATGACGAAGAAGAGAGAGATCAAGAATTCAATCACCACGGGAGCCCCTCTGAATCCGGTATCGGCGACGAAACTTATACATTCTACAAATCGATATGGACATACGGTGGGTCACTGAAAGAATTTGTGGCCCTGAAGCGGTTGAGCTTGGGGATAAACTTTCTGCTATACTTTGCAGCTGGTGTTAGCGGGGAACCCTACCAGAAAAGGGGAGAGCTCGCTCTGGTGGACTGTCTACCAGTCGGGCTAGAATATTTGTGTATTAGGGGATACCAGAAAGGCGAGAAGGAGGAGCATGACCGGCAAATGGATGCACTGATGAAATTTTGCAAATCTGGATCGTCCCAGCTGAAAGAAATCAAGGGAATCGATGAATTGATTCCCAATGCCGAGTCGGTTAAGGACCCAGATAACGACGATCATTTGTTGTGGTCGTTGGAGGAGATTGGGTATGAGAGTGATTAGAAGGTAGTGTCCAATGTACTATTGACAATACTGGTTTCCAGTGCATCTACTTCCTTGACACTGCGCATTTCCACTGCAGAAAATCGAAGCTTTGGTTAGAATCCTTTCTGAATTATGGCTCATCCATGTTCAGATTCTAAGTCGATGCCTCGAAACTAATTCCTCAGTGAGGGAAAAGACGCCTGCGGACCTGGCGGTAGGTAAGTTGTGCTTCTACTTGCCTCGACCCCGTTGGCCGTTTTTGCTGCAAAAAATAGGACAAACTCTGATATATACCGTCTGGTAGATGTGATCTGCGGAGATCCTCAATAACAAGAATGCACCTCGACACGAGAATCTGCGTGACATTGAAGCTGTTGATTTATCATGGTACCCCCGGCGCCACCCGTTCCCGACACAGATCGGGACTCATCATTCAACTAGACTAGCCTCTGTCAGTGCGTGCGAAGGCTCATTAGCGCGAAGGAGAGCTGAAGCCAAGCCCTTGGAAGAATTCTGCGGTCCTGTCTACAGCCCTGCATTGGAGTAAGCTGACTGTTCACTCTCTTTTAGCTTTGTGGGTATTCCACCTAACCGAATACAAGACTCCCCTTGCAACAGTCATCCCTAGAGTGGTGTTTGGGAAGATTTCTCCATAGGGCTTTCATCTTCTTACCAAAATGAAACCATATTCATGCTGCAATCTTGTACGACTAGAAGCCCTTGAACAGAAAGGAAACTATTGTTGGAAGATCAGTGAGTGTAGATGTTCTACAGCGTTGGAGTTGAGAGAGCACCGAGCGGCCAGACCATAGGTAGTGACACTGAAGAGTTCCACATTGACGGATTTAGAAAAATTACCAAAAATTGAGACGAACCCTTTTTCGTTGTCTTTTTCTTTGATCAGACATTGTGTTTTGTTCTTTCGATATCATGATCCCTCCATTGGAATATCTGCAAAAAGACGGTCTTGTCATACTGCGCCTGGATGACAATGTGGGTGCAAAAATATCGAGGCGGGGTGCGATGAAAAAAAAAGGATAGAGGCTTGAGATACAGGAACATACAGGAACAACATCATCCTTGTCCAGAGTCTTGATTTGCCCAACTAATGGAAATTACAGCTTCAGTGTGTAGCTATCATACTCCCGGTGAATACAGGTTAGCCTAGACTAGACAGAGACCTACCTATGCAACCACACGCCTGATTACCACCAGATGCTTGCTTATTTGCTTCTACGAGCATAACGCAAATCGATCTTCCTATAACCTCTTCTAAATATACCCAATTGGGAGTTTACAGTACCTATAGGCTTTACGCATGTTTCTGCGGAGAAAAAGAGAAGAGACCTGGTGGGTCGATCTGAACGCTTGAGGGCCCCATACCCTAGGCGAACTTGAAGCAACTGTAGCCATGTTGCCAATAAATATACGTATTATAAAAGGAGTAGAAAAATTTGAAAAAAAAACAGAGCCGATGGACAGAGAGATACAAAGGCAAGAGAAGTCAACGGAGGAAGGAGCAATGAGGGAATTTGCCCGTCAAGCAAAATTATACTAGCAACCAATAATAGACCACAGTTTAAGTGGATTCTCGAGAAATGAATGGTCAGGTCTAAGTTGCCCTAATAATGACCATGCGCCTGGTGGTAACAGGCAACGACTAGAGTGATACTTTCTTTTAATTGACCTAGTGACCTGGTGAATGGGCCACCTCCTTACTCCGAGAATTTTCTTACCTGTGGGAAAGAAAGCCCGAGAAATTACTTATTAATGCCACATCGTATAACTTTCTCATTCTTATGTGGAGAGGCGTGGGGAGTTGCTTGTAGCTTCACGCATTTTCCCTGTCTCTACCACACGTACCTAATAATGTGTCTAACAATCTCAATCTAAAATTCATTCTGAAACCATGTAATTTTTCAGTCCAAGGAAGGGCTTGTTAGGTTACTTAGTCCCTCCCGAGACCCTTGCTATATACTCGTCCACCCTAGAACAGGACCTTGGAAAGATCCTTGTTATTCTGAACTTTGATGTTTTTCATCATAAGCACCCAGGCAATTGAAAGCCCCATCACCGCGGTACCGGCAATCATCATGTTTCGCTGGCTAAATGCATATGCATCCTGGATAGCAATGCGAGCAGGTGTGCCAACTGCATAACTGAGTTGGACATCCAACGACTCATATATGTCTTCCCACTGGTCTTTCAAGTCCGCTGGCAGATTCGCACGTAGCTTGGAGGGAAGGGTGTTTGTCCAGATAGCACCGGAAACACTGCTGCCCACTGCGCCACCCAGGTACCCGAAAGTGCTGAGAAGTGCCAACATGGCAGCATAGTCTTCATGCGAGGCCGCAGCAAGAACAGCAACTTGCTCGATCAGAATAAAGGTTCCACCACCCACTGCCAGGAAGATCTGGCACATGCACATGTATCCAACGTTGTGACCCGGTTGACGGAAGTAGATCATCAGACCACTTGCTAGGAGGTAGAGGGGCACGGCGGCACAGAGAAGCCACTTGAAGCGCCCAGTTGCTCTGATGAGGAAGCCACAGCCAATTAGCCAAATTGGATCCATGAAATCAAAGATGGCGCTGATATAACCGGCCTGCGTCAGACTGGTGTTGTAGACGACCTGAAGGTAGGAGGTGAAATAACTGGCCCAGCAATAATAAGAAATCTGGTAGGTTACATCCAAAAGACATGCGCCAATGACCGTTCGATCGGTGATCAGATGGAAAGGGATGAAAGGCTTCGGGGCCAGCCATCGCTCGTAACTGACGAATACCACGAGAACACAGAATCCCACAACCATCATCGCAATGATCTTGGCCGATCGCCATTGGCCCTCGGTGTTGCCTGCGATATTGAAAGATGTCAGGAAAAGGATTGTGCCGCCTATCATAAGGAAAATTCCGATAGCTGTGTGTCGCAAAAACCAGGGGTTAGTCAAGATGTCCGAAATGGATTTGAGAGCGTGCCTGACCATCAAATTCCATGGTGTAGTGCCAAATGGCTCCTCCCCAGGTTCGTGTAGTCCTCTCCTTGTATTGCAATTGACCGTTTTTGTCGGCCTTTCGTTTAGCCATTTCCCAGGTCACAATCAAAGGGAGCGCAGCGATAGGGAGAATGATGCAGATTGTCCCGTAGGCCCATCGCCAGTTGGTTTCATGGAATTGATTTGACAACGGCGAGCCCGCAAAGGCAGTGATCATACTAGGAGAAGAGGTGAGGGCATAAGCAAGGCCTCGATCACGAAGCGAGGAGGTGTCTGAAGTGATCACGTCAATGCAGAAAATGGCACCGGTGAATCCAACAGTATAAAACGCCTATTGAGTCATGAGCGATTTTAAACCCAGGGCCGTGGAGGATATGGGTGATCGAAACAGACCTGTGCAGCACAGTAGGTAGTGATATTGTTACAAGCAGCCATCATGATCAACCCCATAATTGCAATCACCAGCATCATCACGAATCCAACAGTTCGATCAAAGATATTGAGGATTTTAGCGACAGGCATCAAACAAGCAGCACCCATAACGCTAGTGATGACTGAAATAACGGTCAACAGCGAGTGTTCCGAAAAGTCACTCGTAATGTAAGCCGAGAGGTTTGCGGTGAGACTGCTGTTGAGATTGTTGACAAAATACACCAGCCACATACTATATTCGCTTTAAACCTGACATGCAGGATAGAGGTCTTCTCCGTAGGTTACTCACCTAGTATAAGCAACAATCAGATGCTTGCGAGTCCACGTAGTTGTAACTGCGTCGGCGATTTGCACACCATCTTGCTGAATCTCCTCTGGTACCTCCGAGTCCTTTGTATTCAATGACTGCGGGCGCTCCGCCGTGGCTCCTTTGATGGCGTCTGTATCCATGGAGGGCAGAGAAGTCTGGGATCGACAACCCAGAATGAATGGTGTGAAGGGCAGAGATGATTTTAACCTCTTTCTCAGTGTCTGTTCAAATTTTAGACCGGTTCAGTCCGTGTAAGCGAGGGTGGCGTTGCCCATTTTGCGTGGGTCCGTCAACACAAGCAGTGTCTAATCTCTTCAGTAGTATTCCGGCGACAGGAAATTACGGTCAAGTCTCAGATGGCTCTCCTCAGTACCCCATTCGGACTTGGGGTGGGTACCCGGTTCCAAGGTTTCCACCGGAGTGGCGTGATCAGATAACTTCATGATCAGATAACTTTTACGATCAGATAACTTTTACGATCAGATAACTTTTGAAAATCAGATAATTGATAAATTCCGAATCTAGCTCCCGTGGTTTCCATTAAGGGAAACACACGGACTACATGCTCCATGCAAGGTTTCGATAACTAGCTTGGAATTCCGAATGCTCGGAATATCGGTTGGATTTGATTTAGTCTTAACCCTGTTTGTTAAGTGGCTTGGCTTTTGACTCATTTGAAGATGTAGCTTGTGCTTCTCTATATTCTAAAGATTGGGGACCTGATGAGCGAGTGCTTTTGGTTCACGTCTATAAGCTTTTCATCAATGCAGATATTGCAGATGAGATGTCTCGACTTAGTCTTGTAGGAGCTTTTCCTTGGGTTTCAACTTCCTGGTGAAGCGCGGTAGGATTGGAATGTAGCAGTTATGGCAGCAAGGTCCTCCGCTATTTGTCCAAATAATTGGGTAGCGCTATAGAAAGTTAGGGCCAGAAAGTTGGGGCCCGTGAAAATTTGATTTACTTGGCAAAAGCTTTCCTCCCTAGTGGTTAGGAAAGCGAATTTATTCTCCACAACATGGCCAAGGCCTGAAAGTCTAAACAGTAGCCAAGTGATTGCCGACCATTCACAGAGGGGAGGAACTCCCAGGCCTCGTAACTTCGCAGCTTGGCGGGCACGGCGGGCACATAATTGAAAATGTATACGGGGGGAGCCGGGTAACCCGGCTCGAATGTTCAATAGAACAATTTATAATTCCTGGCTGTCATGCGAATAATGGTGTATTGTGCGGATCGTGCTTGCTACCGTTGTTGTCTACAAAGGTGGCCCCGAAGAACTCGATGTACGAGTCTGAGAGCACATAACCCAACCTTGGAATTTTTTGATCCTACAGCAAAAGGTGTTTAATCTAAGGGGCAAGGACTAGGGACAATTGCAAAAAAAAAATTCGTAAAATTGTGTATACCAAGGTCAATTCTGAACAGGCGTCAGAGCAACCTTTGTCCCATTAGCATTTGACAACGTCGACCGCAAATCCTCTGTCCAGGGATCAGGATCTCGAGTTTCAATTTTCTCGAAATTTTGCATAATCCTGGTAATAGTGTATCCAGCCTCCGTCAGCGCGAACTGCTGGCCTATACAAATCCGAGGACCTCCACTGAAAGGAAGGTACGCCCAACCAGGCCTGATATTTTCCCATCTCTCTGGTCGGAACTCATCCGCATCAGATCCATAGATTTCTGCATTGCGGTGCATTGTGTATACGCTGAAGATAATCTCGTGGCCCTTGGGTATATGAACGGGGGACTTTCCATCTGGGCCCCCGCCGACGGGAATATAAGTGTCTCTATTGGCCTGGCGTATATTGAAGGGGACGAGTGGGTACATGCGCAGAGCTATAGATTGTTTAGCAGATTACATAGCCAGAGCTAGGAGTAGTGATGCTTACTCTCGTTGAGAACCCAGGTCAGATAACTCATAGATTTCAGATCGTCGAATGATGGCTTTCGTCCATCCAATGCGAGCACTTCTTTTCGCAGTTTGGTCCACACATCCGGCTCTCTAGCCAAGATGAAGAATACAATGCTTAGTAGGCTAGCAGTGGTGTCGCGACCAGCAAACATAATGCTCAATAGCTGATCTGATATGTTGGTTTTGTCAAGTGTCTGCTTCGACAGCTCGTAGGAAAACACATATCGACTTTCGGTCAACCGCTTGATATCTTGATCAACTTCTCGACCGCTGTTGGCTGCAACCCGGTAGTCGATGGTCTGTTGTACAAATCTCTCTGTATAGGCGCGAATAAATTGAATGGATTTGATGTATTCATTCCTGCGGTAAAACTTCCCCAAAAACCCAAATCGAAAGCGTATGGCAGCCACGTATCCGGCTATGTCAAAGGCTTTCGCAAATTCCGCACCTGCAGAGGATCGTTCTTCGCGCAGCGAGTGAGCAGACTCTCCAAACAGAAACTCGGTGGTGGTGTCAAGAGTCTGCCTCCAGTCAGTTATGTATTCCAAGAAATCAAGCATGATAACGTACTCCTTTGAGAAACAGCGGGCACAAATCGATGGTTGACCCATCTTGCGGGATTTGCCTGATGAGCTCGGCAGCATAGTTCTCATATAACTCAGTGTTGTTAATCTGAGTGCGCGAGAAATTAGGCCTGAGGAGAGCCCGTGCATGTTCCCACTCGCTACCGTCTACGCCGAAGATGCCTCTGCCCATTATTGGACGGAGTGCGTCTATTCGAGACGAACCTATCCCGAAGTCTTTGAATTTCAAGGACAGGATTGTTTGGATGTTCTGTGGTTCGACTGTGAAAATGAAATTTCGATTGACGATTCTCGCCTTGAATGTCGGACCGTAGCTTCGATGCCAGCCGCGTACAAGTTCGAGAAACCTATGCTCGGGGCCGGCTTTGGCTACTTCCACGGCCATGCCAAGACCAAACAAACCGTGGGATACAGAGTGTGCTGGGGGTTGACAGCCGTTTTCACGAGCGTATTTCCATCCTGAACGAGTTTTTAGTCTGAGTGTCGACCCAATGTCAACGAGGAAGGAGTACATACTGCGAAAGGCTTGTATAGTCTTCGCTAACAACCAAGTAACCACGACAGCCCCAGCAACAAGACTGAAAAGGGGAATCTGCAAGAGGCCAAAATACGCTAGTGTCATAGCTAAGCTAGTTTGCAGCGAAGAGTTTGCTTTGAGATTGTTAACATGGCGAGACGGGTTTCATTTGAATGATATGTGTGCTTCCGCCTGCACCTCGTGCGAAGGGTCATGACGCAGCGCCTCACTTGTCTTGAACTAGCGGGGTAGAGAGGTTGATTGGTGCTCACATTCTCCTTTCACCACACCTGATAAATGCAGTGCCCGTGGATGATCGATAGCTCAGTTCATTGGACTTTCGACTTCGGAGCTAGAGCTTAATTTAGGTATGATGATAATGATGATCTCATTAACCCACTATAGCTCGCTATCACATACATGCTATTTCATTCGGGTACGATAGCCTGCCGAGGGGCATGAATCGACCTTGAATTGTTTCATCTCACGTGAGACTTTAAGATGAGCGAACAAGTGTGACCATTCATCGCTGCTACAAGCTAGATGCATAACGCGGAGAAAGCATACAATCTGGTGATCTGGATATCTGCAGAAATTGCCGTGTTTCTCGCTTGCGTTATTAAAAACGTGAATCCCAATGCGTATGGCTCAATTCCTATTGGTTTGGAATTCTGAGCATCGATACATGTGGGGAATCTTATAGCGTATTCTCGATCCGAGAGGACGACAAATGCGGCGTACGCATCATTTTCTGCAACCGTGGTATTTGACGCTGCAAAGATGAAACTGGGTGGGGTGCATTAGGTTGACAATATATGACAATCGATAGATGGGTGTCTATTTTTAACAGGCAGTCTTGTTGACTTTTGGTGCATGTAGAGGAGGAGATGAGAACCCCGAGATTCCCGCGAGAGGTGATTCTGTTTTCAATCCGCTGCATGATATAACGTAACACAACATGATGCCTGGAATGAGAATGCAAAGCAAAGAGCAAAACTCATAATCACCTATTAGAACCATGTGGAGGTTAATGCGGGTACTTCTGTTCGTCACCCCCCTCGGCCATTTAATTGGTTTCACAGCAAGGCGCTGTAGCGGGGTAGGAATCGTAAATGGTATTAGATCGAGAGCGGCATATATACACGAAAGAATCTAGATCCCAATTCTATCCCTTCACCGAGATTCGCGATCAGGTCATCTCTGCTCAATATTTACTCGTTCATGATGAGACTGACCAGCACGTTGTCAAGCCCGTAGTGACGATCTGGGCCAGCATTGTCGCTTGTATCCTATTTGGAGTAGAGTTGATAGTGCCGGGCTCGACTGGTGTCTCATCAAATCACCTCTCGCCATGAAACCTTGAATTTCTTAGAATTGAGTGATCGGGATGCTTGCCATGATAACTGGATCAAACACTCCGCAGATCATTTCCCAAAGACCGGGCACAGTGAGAGTTGGATATGGAAAAGTGCGGCTCCAGGCGGAAAAACAGGCGGTGCTGAAATTAACCGGAGGGAAACTCGTTTCACTCGAGGATCAGGTTGGCGTGCAGCGCAGCCTGAAGTGTGATGGCATGCATATCATGCACACCACTAGATTTAGACCGAATGAGGGGCCCGAGCGGATGGCTCAGGGCTAGATGAGTCTTTTTTCTTCTTTATCATGGCTTGTGTTTATCTTAGGAATTTCGGCGGTATGTACTTGGCGTTCGCGTCCATCAACTCTGATATATCGACTTTCCCCTCAGTTGACGCGTATATAGCCTTTCGGCTATGTCCGCCACATGTCATGAGTCATACCCCGAAGTCCAGCACTCAGACAGTATATCCCCGTATTTGTGCATCAGCTCCTTGAGGGCCACACCACAGGTCTGTGACCCGCCAATAGTGACATCAAGCGACATGAGTCCTTTCATGAGGATATCGATTTTTCGATCCCAGATCCCGTCTGGTATCAAAAACTGTGTGTCATCCTTTGATGAATGATCATCGGAGCAAGAGTGAAGCTGCAGGTCTATAACACTCTCAATGGCCCTTTGAAGGGCTGTGATAGCTAAGCTGGGAGTGACATGATAAGCGGTGAGTGGGACTTCGGCACCGAGTCCATTTTGGAGGTTGAAGGCCTCCTCGGCGGGTAAGCTGAGTACGCATTCAACTACCTGTGCCACGCATGAGGCTGCGTCGCGCTGATATTCCCAGACAGCGGGCCCTATTTCTTGTTCGATAGAAGCATCAAGGTCTTTGGTCACCCTTTCGAAGACTTCGGCGAGAAGAAAAACCCCAAGACTCCAGAACATCACGAGGGAAACTAATGCACAAATTGTCAGTAGGATACCGATGATAGAATTGTGGGGGAAAGGACGAATAAGCGAATTCATCAGAGTGTAGCTTACCAAGGGATATCCTAGGACACGTGGAGAGGCAATGGAAATTTCTGATGCACTGAAGAATGAAAGGTTGGAATGATTCACTGAACTCACGAACAGCTGCCATGCTCAAGTTTGTTGCTTCAATTGTTGACGAGCACCGTTCCTTGGCGGTGCCATGCTCCTGGTTAGCAGCGGTTTTGATTTTTATAATCTGCCTCCACAGAATGAATGTTTCTGCACTAGCTTTCCGGCAGATGGGTTGAACATTGATGTTCAACTCAAGGATATTTTGAGAGACTGCTAATGCTGCTACGGCCTCTTTGCCAGAAAAAACTGTGCGGCTTTAGTTCAGTTGCCACAAAGTCTAGATTTCTCATTCAAAGAACACTAACCTTTTGTAGTACGCCATAGATCTGGAAGTTTGCATTGCCAATCCATCGCTAACGCTGCGCCTGTGTCACGGATATACGCAGTCCACCGGACGATGTTTAAACTTCCTTCAGCTAAAGCGCTATATGTGGATGATGGTCCCAGGTTCGCACAGTATTGAGTGACGAGTCCATCCAAGTAGAATAACTTTTGTAAAGCTATGTCTAGGAAGTGGTTTGGTACAAGATCCTCTCTGTCCATTATTTTAGTAGGTGTAACAATACCAACAAACAGGAGTGTTGCCAATACAACTCGAAATGACCGAATATCTTTTGCGTCGCTGAGAAGTGATCTTGCTCGTACCCAAGCATCAATGAAAGCGTTCAAGGAAAAGTCATCTCCTGCCTCTCCAGACTTTGGATTTCGAGAAAAGTCATCATGAGCCAAGCTTGCTTCAAAGGAAGACGAGCTTGGCAACCATTGCATTGAGAATGCGCGAAGAACCGCATTGAAAGTCTCATCTGATTTCTTCCGCGCGGCCGAATTCAGTCGATTGCCATAGAGGCCACCCAGATGATCAAGGAACCGAACACTTCCCAACAAGGAAATCTCATAAGGGATTGCTTTTGACGATACCGGAAGAGAAAATCGGGGTGTGATAGGGATTGGATCCATTGCTGAAGTTGCCGATCCATTTGAGCTCCCTGAGTCACTGTTCTTCAACCGGTAGCGACTCATAGTCGCGTAAAGATTGCAGTCATAGTCCAAAACCCTCAACGCACTGGCTGTAGCTATTGCTTCGTAAATCCGAGCGAGACGATCACCCAATATATTTGCATCTATTCCAGAATTCAGCAGGTTGATAGGACTATTGAATGAAAGGCCAATTGTTGGTCGGTGACGATTTGATTCGAGTTTTTGTCCCCCGTGCAAGCAAGTCAGATGAGACGTGAGATCTGTACGTTGACCCTCAAGCTGGCTCTCCTCCAGCGCTTTGTCCTCCGAACGAAGCGCAGTGAATGAGTTGGAAGGCCCAAAGTTTGTTGAAAACAAGTTGACGCTATCCGCGACGATCTCATCATAGTCGAGATTCAACCAAGCCGCTAGAACATCTTGGTCAGCGATGGAGGTAGCATCAAATCGATTGCTCGGGCTGCCAACGACTTCCTCGGGTGTTGCATCAAAGTCGTTATATTCATTTTGCCTCGTTGATATTATAGGTTCCCCGCAGTTTCGCTTTGGTCGTTTGCGAGAGAAGGGACTGGACTGGGCTATAGCGAATTCGAATGTACATTGGCGTCTCAGACGTTTGCAATTTTGGCAGATCGCATCGGGAATTCCGTCTGGACCCGACTGCACCACACAGCGTCGCTTCGAACGTCTGCATTGGTCACAACTTGTGTTTTGGCGCCGCGGTGGATTCGCGGGAGATGTTGATGCCTTTGAAGAATTGAGATCACCCGGCATTCCGTATCTACATGATAGCTACAAGACAAGGGAGTGTCCGCTGAATTGTGTTATTCCCGAGGGACGGCGCGGCTGAATTGATTCTCCGTTCCGCGCCTGCGAAGGTTCACAGCATCAGGTCAAATAATTTCGGTGGATGCTGCCTGAATGTGCCTGATTCCAGGCCGGCAAAAAAAATTATGAATGAGCCCGTGGTAAAGAGCGGTGTCGACAACGGTGTAGAACATGGATTCAGGCATCTTCAGGCAAATCCAAGCAGCAACCACCCGGCCCCCTTTATATAATTCCAAAATGGCCCATGCACTTTCGCGCACACCTCCACTCCTTTAATGACGTCTGAAGTTGGAGGCAACAATTTTAAACATTAATCAAAACCAAAATATGATATACCTACCAGGCCCGGTGCTACTATTGAATAACCGATAGAAAACTAGGTTTACAACTATGGTATGCACCGGTATGATGAAGCTTGGAATGAATGTGCATGGCTCTAACTTGACCTGGAATAATATTGGATAATCTGGCTAATCTTTATACATCATACGCAGTTATCTACCATTTGATCTGTATATTTCCCGGGGTTCAACCCCTTATTTTCAACCACGAAATGCAACACAGTATTCGATGGGCACACAGAAAGGGCGACAAGGCTTAGTCGACATGCTTAGACCTTCTCTCCGGCTGCCCTACGAACACAATCGACAATAAAGCCCGGGTTACTCAAAAATGGGGAATGGCCCTCCTCGCATTCCTCAACCTCAAAACAGCCCTCGCCTTGCGCAATCATCCTTCGCTGATACGCTTCCTCCACTGCGTGGTCGTTTTTGCAGACAATGTATGTGCTTGGAATTTCACGGTACGCGGTGTATGTGACAGGAACGGTAAACGGGCCCACGGGGAATGTTCCCAGGAGCCCCACAGCCCTTTCGACATCCTTCTGGTCGCAACGGTTATAAAGCATGAGGTGGACGAGGTCCTTCGGGAGTGTGATTACTCCATCCTGTCGATAGATTAGCTTTGAGGATATGAAAGGGAAGATTCACGTCCATACCGCTGATACATCCGGTCCACCGAACTTTTCTTCGAACTCCTTGCGCTGACGCTGGATCTCTTCTTCCTCGGGCGTCTGCGGGACCAACTGACCGAAATGGGTCTGGCCTTCCGGCAACGCCATCGCGCACATGTAGACCAGCTTGATTATACCGCCTTTCAAGCCCTGTGCATCTCGTTCCTTCTTTCCTAGACCCTTCGCTGCCTCCGACATGGCGACGCCGCCAAACGAATGTGCCAGGACAATTACATCCTTTCCGGCATCCAGTCTGGTCAGAATCACTTGTCGCACAGCCTGCGCGTCCTTCTCCCAGCTGGGCAGTGGAGGGTTGGAGTTCACCGAAGGCATTGTCACAGCCTCTGCATCGTAGTTGACCTTTGCAAGGTCATGGATGAGGCCTTCGAAGTGTGCAGGTTGGTGCCATGCACCTGGCACAATGACAATTGAAGGGTTAACCATTCTGAGGTTTTATTATAGTCAAAGAGGGATCAAATGTGGTGATTTGGGATTGATGTTGAATTGAGGGAAGAAGACAGAGATCCAGCCGTTTATATATCTAGATAAAGATTTGGTGCTCCTGCATGTCCCCACATCGGAGCCGCCCTGGTGGATCTCTTGGTGGGAGCCGCCCCAAACCTTTGGCCGCTGATTGGTCAAATCTCGCCAGCGGCTCTCCCGTTTCATCTTACAGGGTCGATGAGACTTGTCCCTACCTGGTTCCATAATCGTCCATGGATGTATCTGGAAGTGTGTAGGAGACTTACTAATTTGTCCACGTAATGCTTATGTGAGCTAATTATTGGCGTCAACAATTCGACCTAAGCCGTGGATGTTAATGATTACTGCTATTGCGACCCTTGAGCAAAGGCCCATCGGCCATAGTGTTTGGCCAGTGCCTGTATCTTGAGGTCAGATAAAAATCTAGCTTTCCCTATCTTTCAGCTGGGAAGGATGGGAGTTACTGCTAGGAATGTCCGAAATTTTGATTCTTCAAAAGACAAAATAAATGCACTTCATTCGTCAGACATCAAGATTATGGTCTCATGACTTTCTAAGCCCCCTGCTTCTCGGCTTGAAGAATGTAAATCTTCACAGCAAATATCTTATAGCTGTGATAGGTTACGATCCTTTGAACTTCGAACATAATCTCCACTTTGGTAGACACACATGGACAAGCAGTCTCGTGCAATTCTTAATAGAAAGATAAGAATAACCGACGAAGTAAATGATAGGCCCGCTGAGCATGAAGATGTGGAAGCATGAAACGGAACTTTAAGAAAATGAATGTCCTTAGAAGACTGCTTGGCCAACTGAGAGCTATCTCTGTGGAAAGGCTCCAAAATTGATGTTGAAGAAATTGAGAACAGACCCCCTTCCTACATTAGTTCAGCTTCAGGCAGTCAGTGGGAGTATCCAGACAGTCCAGATATGTACAGTCTGTTTCTGCAGATGTGTATTAGGAGTTTGTCAGTCGAAGCTACTGACTGATACCCTCTGAGACATGCCACGTGCCATCGACAGTCTAGCTTGGGCCGCTTATAGAAAACCCTCTAGAGCCCTTCAAGATTGCACTGATCGCTGAACAACAGCATCCATAAGCTTGATATGAATCTAACTCTGAAATCACAGTCAAATAGTTGAAAGGTACTCAACAGGAACCACCTTGTGCAGTGGGGAACTGAGGCACGGAGGATTTGGGCAAAGAAGAGAGAGAATTAGGAGGAGCCAGGTTCTTGTACTTGGTAGCTTTAAGACAATGGTAGGTGGGTGAACCAAAAAAGGAAGGCAAGTGGAGGCTTCACGTCTACAGGTGACACCTTTTATTGGCATCAAACCCATCTCTCCATTAGGACAATAGCATTGGATTTGAATTTTGATCTCGGTCACCCATATCTTCAATTAACATGACCACATACTCTAAATGCATGAAATTTCCCACAGCCATACACTTCGCTGTGTATGTGATGATAAAATACACCTCTGGGACCGTTTCTTTGTTTTAAACGGTGCTTACACTATCCCCGCATTTCTTTTTGTTCTTTCATTTTATTTCGTTGAAGGTATACATGAACTTAAATAAAACGTGGCCAAGTACTCTCTAGGTGACCTTGTAGTTCATTGTCCTCACTCGAACGGCGCATAATCGAGTTTGTTATTCCAAAAACGCAGACAAAGATGGGATGAAGTGGAAATTCCCCTCTGCGTTTAAGCACCACAAACGGTCACTCTTTCAACTTCACCTTCTTTCATCCTCGTCACCTTTCATCCTTGGCAACCTGTTGACGGGCTTATCCATCTTGATTATCCCGTTATTCTTGGATTTTTTTTTAACATCCAATCACGGAGATGGTACTCGACCGAGTACGCGTTTCTACGCGGCACACGCTTAACTGCGCCAATGAGGCGACAGTCCCCGCACTCGAGTCCTCTTTTAGTCTAGGGCCAATGGATCACACTGTGCCCGCTAAGTTGACTATTGAAGCCATACTGGTCTACAGAAAGCCTAAAACACTATCAGAAGCCAACTTCCTCCCGGTTGAACGCTTGAAGGTGGCTGCATCCCACCTCCTCGACTATTACCCGCATTTAACCGGCCGTCTGCAGCAGAATCCAGCCAGCCAAGCTCCGGAGATTGGTAGACTGGGTACTGGCGCTGAACTTTGGGAGGCACAGTGCGCGAGAAGACTCGCTAGCATCGCGCTGTCTGCTCTTTCAGCCCGTGTCTTGGTATTTAATCTGCCAGACTCTGGGAATGCACTTCTTCCAATTTTTTATTCAACAACGGGATCTGTCTCACAAAATCCCATCTTTGCCATCCAACACACCCGGTTCGGCTGTGGAGGGGTCGCACTAGGGATTCGAGTTCATCATCAGGTCTGCGATGCCACTGGGTTCATGCAGCTCGTGCGCGATCTCGCTGAGATCTACAAACAATTACGCGATTCCTCTCCACCAACACTCATCGCCCCCCCGGAGATATACTCACAATTTCGGGGAACGAACAGCCCATCGGCCAGCCAGAAGGAGAAAGCCCTTGCGTTCAACCCTTTGAATTTTTGCCTGGATCAAAACACCACGGTTATGCCAGAGACTTCTACACCCTCCTCCGTATACACTTGTCCTCTGCGTTTCCACGGTTCAGATTTGATTTCACTCCAAGGTGCTGCAAGCAACCCCAACGCCCAGGGACAGAGTCCACTCACCAGATTCGAGCTCGTCTCAGCCTATCTGTACCAAAAAATTTACCAAGCCAGAATTCAAGTTCTACGTGACAAGGGACTCGAACCAGACCCCGACGCGCTGCAGTCACTTCGCGATTTCTGGACGACTATGGACATGCGTGACCCCACCCGTCTGAAGCTCCCCGCACGCTACTTTCCAAACGCCGTGCACTGCCCCTCGACTTCTGCCTCCCACGAATTGCTCGAAAGGGGTCCGCTCTGGCAGATTGCACAGATTATTCACGATGCAATCCACTCTGTTAATATGGAGGAAGTCAAAAAGCAGTTTGAATGGATAGCCGCACAGCCGAACAAAAGTCACGTCAGGTTCAAAAAGATGGTTCCAGATGGTTGCCTTGTCGCGACCCAGTGGAGTAGGGGTAAGACATACGTTGGGGTTGACTTTGACATCGCCCCCAATGGCAAGCGCATTGCGCCTTCCCTGGTATCACCAGCTTTTAGCGAAGGTTACCGGGTCGATGGATTGGCAATCATCTTGTCTACCGAGGAGGAGGTGCCTCGACGTCAGAGCTATAGAGGTCCTTGGGATTGTGCCAATCTTCCGTGTGCTGTTGATGTCAATTTGAGTCTGGATAGGTCTGTATGGAATGTTCTTAACAGTGACCTCGACTTCTTGGCTCTTCATTCTTAATTGATGGGTTTCTCACTAACCTCGCTTTGGCGCGAGTGGCCTGGATTAGATCAATTTGTTTAAAAGGGTGTCCATATTTGGAATTTTCTGAAGCTGTCATTCTACAGGTCATTTTTTTCCAGAGAAAAGAATGGAACTGAAAACGATTAAAAAGTGGAAAACTCTCCTTAAAACAAAGCACAAATCTGCAATTTCTAAGCTGAAGGTCCACAAAAGAGAGCCTATCTCTGTTGTTGATGGAGCTTGGTCTGTATTCAGAACTGTGCACGAAACATCTTCAGATAGGTTCATACAGCCACATTTTCACGAGGTCCTCTTAATCACACGCCATTACAATCAATTTCGGGTTTGCCGCTCTCCTTTTGAAATTTGACGTCGGCACCGGCCTGTAGAAGCGGAATCCTCAACGTCTTTTTTCCGCCTAGACTGCAAAATGTCCCCGATGGACACCCCAGCGACGCCAACCAAGATGTTTGCTGTGGCCAGACACCATCCATATTCTCAATTGCCGACGCGAAGCCCGGGCATATGTCACTCGCATTTGATTTACACAGCAAACGAGCCAAGTCATCACACCATCTTGACTCAATCTATACCACCGGTGCCGTGAGCGCAGCCTGCTCCGCCAAAGCCTTTAGCGATCTCTTCTCTTTTTCAACACCATTCCGTCGCTGAGCCGTGTCACACAGCTCCAGATTCCCACATTCACATTCCCCATCCCTGAGCCAGCGATAAGTGATACTCCAGCGCTTCCCGCGCGGCCTCGCCGTCCCATCCGGGAGAGGATCATTCTTTCGCTTCCTAATACCATGCGTCCAATGCAACCTTGACTCGCCGCTCATCTGTATCATGCTCCGCGGGGTCAAGTCAACTTCGACGCGTTCCTCGCCCCGGCGGAATATCATAATCGCCGGTGCACCAAGAGATAGCGCGTAGAGCTGATCATATGGCTTGTGTGCATCTACATGGGGCGGAATGCCCGCGCCTGGAGGATAGTACTGCAGACAGACCTGGTCTGGAGGCCGGTCCTCGGTTGTCGGGATGAGAGGCAGGAGCCATTCTGGGAATTCCTTGTATGGAATCTCAGGGTCTATTCCGAATGTTTTATAGTCGAAGCTGTAGCCATAGTGGAGCGATATTCGGCCAGGGCGGTCGGGCCATTCTAGCTCGTTGGAAAAGACCGAGATGAGTCGTTGCTCGTGTTCGGCATCAACAAAATTGTCTTGCCAAAAGATCCCGTGTGGCTCGGTGGGCAACTCTTGAAAGTGGCTCCGATCTCTCATGATTTTGCAGCGTCGATCTCGGCCCTTGAACGTGGAAACCAAGTGGATGGAAGCTATGCGCATGATATCCTTCAAACTCTGATGTTGGGTGTATTAATTACTGGTATCAATACAATGCTCCTCGAATACCTCGTTCGTGATCTTAGAAATGTCTCCCCATGAATGGTTTTGTGCTGTATTGCAAAATTACCGACCATCAGTAAACCGCCCAGGCGATGTGTTTCTTCAGCTCCACGATAGTCCATGCATGTCAAGTATGTCTGTATTCTCCAAAAGACATAAAATTTCAACCACCGACTGCTACTTTCGTAGAGAATCTCTTGATATCCGTACCACCAGTTAATAGATGATGCCCCATCGAAGAGTTTTCAACATTGACTTGCAAGCCATCTTCTGCAACCTTTAAAAAGACGTACGGTTCTGGTTGGTACCTATCCGGTGACTCGTCGATATTGTTTCCACGACCTCAAAGAATGACCCAGAAGGCATCTTGGATCGCGCGCGTCTTTGGATATTGATACCTACAAGAGCTAGGCTCTTTGGCAACCTCCTTCACAGGCCCTGGAAATCAGGCCACGATCTACCGCAGCGCCTCTCAGAAACCAGAACTCTACGGTCACGACTTTCATTTTGAAGAGTATCTCTCCGCGAATGGTGTATTGTCCGCTGCTGTTGTGCATCTCCTCACCAAATTTCTTCTCGTTTTCTTTTCTCTTCCATTTATCCGTGAGCTCACACGAAAACTCGCATCGCGCATGGCGACGACTCCCGACCTTAAACAGTTGCGACATCTAGAGTGGGCAGAGTTATGTACTGTTGAACGTGAGAATGGAGGGGAAAAGCCTCGAGTTTGAGCATCCTTTGCCCGAGAAGGGACGTTGTATGGAGTAGAGGGGTCGTCAGGTTCTCAGGTGGTATTTTAATAACCGGCCCCTGTCAGGCCGAAACCTGACTCACCCTCTGCGAGTCAGCTTCTCCTCCAGAGATTCTTGCTTGGTGCCTTCCAGTTGGACCACTCCACTGATTCTGACAGAAGGAAATTTCCAAAGGATACTGTTGAAAGCATGTGAATATTCACATGCTACCACATGCTCCTAGTACTTAGTTTCCCATCTTATAGATAGTTTCTCTCTCTCTCTTCACGCACAACAGAGATTTTCCAGTTATATCTACACTTCATAGTAGAAACTGTAATACATCTCAGGTCATGAGCGCCGTTGCTTTCGAGGCTATTGTAACGTAACCCTCGAAACCCTGGTTAACCCCTTTTGGGTGCCTGCGTCGCACCACGGTGGAGATTTTTGACCCCACAAATCTGAATTTTCACCAATCCCATTTGACGAGACTCACACCTCGCCAACCCATTTTAGACAAGATCAACGCCTTGTCTAACCCCCAGGATACCATCTTTCGAACGTGTCACGTCACGGTGCGAACCGTGATGCTTAGTAAGAGGAAGATCATGGCACGTGATCTCCGACCTGTTTATCTTGAACTTCAGTTCTAGATCCTGTTGTAGCTCTGGGAGCTACATCTTGTATAATAGCCTGCCCCTGTCTGTACCTGTCAAGTGGAATCTGATCTGTTATGACCTGTTCCTACCAGTCATCTTCTATCATACCGTCCTGCCAGCCCGCACCCTGACACCCTCACTGCTAACAACCGGCATTATTCGTATATAATTGCTTAGGGTACTCTACAGCCTAAAACACCGGATTTTCAAGATACCTATCCTAAAGTAGTTTGACAATTACTTATCAAAGAAGCGCAATAATTTTCTGGTGACGATACCACGACAATTTGTCAGGGTGCGGGCTGGCAGGACGGTATGATATGAGGTGACTGGTAGGAACAGGTCATAACAGATCAGATTCCACTTGACAGGTATGTTACGGACC